TGCACGTTGTTCTTTGGGCTACGCACGTTGCTAAGTACTACCTCAAGGAAGTCGGCACGACCATCCCTGGGTAGTGCGCCATCAGGATGGGTTTTGATAGGGCGGAAAATAACTTCCGGCTGACCAGCTGAAAACCCACCAGACGAAGGCCTTGCTCACCAGCCGCCCGTCTATTTTTGAGGTCATTGATAGCCTCCTTTAACTATAATCTGTCTGCCAGTGGTAGGTCCGGCTGAATGCTACCATTAAGTTTGAATGCAAACCGCAGTAATGATTTGCGTTCCTCCGGGGTAGAAAGGACCACGCGAAATAGTCGGGTTCGCGGATTTGGCGTACCGTTCTACAACGTGCTCAGCTTTCTGACAGTGACACCGTGGAAGCCAGGTGGAAGCAGCTTGCTGACGCACACTTTGAGCCACTTGATGTCATCCAAGATGCGTTCCCTTTGGAGAGCAGCCGTAGATTCAGTAACGTTACGGAATATAACACTACTATACGTGAGAGTCGGCACGACGAGGAGTGTTTACGCCACGTGCCTTGGATTCGACACTTATACCAGTTGTTTTCATCAGTCTTCGCAAACGAAGTCAAAGCAACGGTTGCGTAGCAGAGGGCTTCTGGTATTCCTGCACCCTATTTTTCTTCACTTTGACTGGCTCATGATGATAGTCAGCAATGCTACCTGCATTGTCCGGTAGGATGTGCGACTTCTTGACCGAGTGACCTAGTGTTAACAAAAACGATGCCAAACGTAGCCAAAACATTGTACAACTACGCCAGACCTACGACACAATGACCAATGTCGCCATGCTGCCAATAAACCGCGGCATAAGTTATTTCATTCTAGGAGGGCGCTGAGCAACACTGAAGCAGAAGTATTCTTGCTGTTGTATAAAGCAGTGGTTAAGCCACATCTGGAGTACTGTGTTCCGGACTGTGACCCTGCTGACAGTCCATCCGTTGGTCGTTCATCCTACCGGACGCTCCAGTTCACATTGAGATAACTGACTCATATGCCTCGGAGGACATTGTTGACCTTCCACAAATGGAAGGCGAGGCACGGACTCCTGGGTCAGTAAAGTATAAGCGAAAGAGGGCAAGGAAAGTGCGCAAATCCTCCGCCCACAAACCGGGAGGTGAGATATCGCTCAAGATGCAACCGCCTGAGATGGAAACACCACCTGTTGATGAAATTCCCTCAGTTTTATCCAAGGCTGTGCAGGCAGGGGGTGAAAACACCAGGTGTTCCCATCGCGCGCTAATCAGACTGCGGTGCTTACTCCAAACACCCTGTTTTCCGGAGGTACAGGTCGTGGAGGCGGGCATGGCCGTTGAGTCACGGGCTTCTTCGCCTGTAGGCCGAAAGAAAAATCGGTACAAACTTGACCGTACTCTTCAGGCCAGTACGAAAAGCGTCAAGAATGACGAGTCAAACAAGCTGGAGCATAAGACGTACGCTACAGTTGCTTCAGCGTCGTCTGATAACGTGCGCCCAGTCTCATTGCCTGCGGCTAAGCCGGTTGCTGTTCATCTAAATTCCAAAACTCGTGGGGTAAATACACCCCGTTGAGGTGATTCCTTCATGGATAGCACTGTGATTTTCCGTAACACAGTGGAATCCACTGCCGCACTTCCTGCCGAACGTAACTTGGACGACCTACAGTGTTTTAAGATGTGCGTAACGAAGCTTCTTCCACCTGGATATCCTGGCGTTACTGTCAGCAAACTGATTAGATTGGGTAACGTCCCAGTTAACGTCCCAAACTCTCGACCGCGCTTACTTCGTGTAGTCCTATCCTCCCCGGAGGAACGCAACGCGCTGTTGCGGTTTACCTTCAAAGTGAAGGGTACCACTGTTGGCGTTCAGCCGGACCTCTCACTAGCGGATAGGCTGAAGCTAAAAGAGACCACTAAGGACCTCAAAACCAGGCGAGCGGCCAGTGAACAAGGTCTCTGGTTGGTGGGTTTCAGGGTGGTCAGCTGGCGGTCTTTTTCCGCCCTACCAGTGTCAGTCCTGGTAGCGCACGACCCAGGGCTGGACATTACGAGTACCTTCAAATAATGCTAAACAATTTACGCAGCCTAAGGAATAAGATGTGCGAGATAGGTCTGTTTGTAAATGGGTCTCATCCCGATATACTTGCATTCACTGAAACGTGGCTGTCTCGGGACATCACGGATGGTGAAGTACATTTATCTGGCTACGCGCTATTTAGATGTGATCGCTTCGTTGGCCGATAAGGCGGGGTCATTGCGCTTTAGGTTGGCTGTGGACTTGACGTTTTGCGTACCTACCTGTTTCAGTCGGCAAATAAAACTGTCGAAGCTCTGTTGGTAGTGGTTAGCACTTCCTCAGCTCAACTTACAGTTGTAATTGTGTATAGAAGCCCTTGGAGTGCGTCCAAAGAGGTACTTGACTTTATTCGCTCCCAATCCGCAAACAGGTGTTTGGTACTGGGGGACTTCAATTTACCGGAAGTTTGCTGGGCAGGTCTTTCTTGCAACTCAGCGGAACGTACTTTCGGTTCAGATCTTCTTGAGCTTGCGCTACAAGTACTGTTGCATCAGTTCGTGGATCACTACACTAAATACATGGATGCCAAAGTACCGTCTATATTGGATCTAGTTTTTGCCAAGTCACTAGACTTCTTAGGTGACATCACTTACAGCTCTTCCTTAGTTGCCAGTGATCATATCTGTTTATCATTCAGCTGTAATCTGACCAGACATCACCAGAGCATCGCTGAGCCATATCCAAACATGGCGTGCTAACTATCAGGCAATGCATATCAAGGCTTCTGGGTTGCGTTGCGAAATCTCGGTGGCCGGTACGGTTCAGGCGGCCTAGGTCTTGGCTCATAGAAGTGTCTACTCCCTGCATCCCGTTTGCGAGGAGAAATAAGACACGAGCGCGACCGCCGTTGATAGGATACCACTGGCAAGTACCTGTGCCAGAAACGTTCTAAGTGCTGGATGACTAACCGAGCCGCTCCATCAATTAGCACCTATCATAGGTACCTGGAGACTAGAAATAGATGGAAACAACACTTGAAGAAAGCTTGACTGTTGTACGAAATGGGATATTATGATGGAGCTTCGGAAAATCCGAAAAATTCCTCACTTATGTTAAGAGGTCTATGGTTCCAATTTGACAATTTCATTGCTGGTGCAGGCCGATGCAACTCATACGTATGAAGACCCTGACAAGGCTTGTTTACTTGGTGAGCAGTATGCAGGGGATTTTATACGTGAGGCCGCGTTGATTAACCTTGAACTTGTCCCAGAATCCCAAAGAGTTCTTATTTAGTTGAATTTGCTGTGGTGGAAACGCAAGTGCTTAGGCTGCTGCACGAACTGATCCATTCTAAAGCAGCTGGGTTTGATTCAATTCAGCCGAAGCTTCCGCATGGGTTGGCGGCGGAACTAAATGGACCGATTGACAGCTGTACATTACCTTCTGAATGGAAGGAGGCTGCCATCTGTCCTTTCTTCAGAAATAGAGACAGGAATGTGTCATCCAGTCAGTCTGACTACCGTCGTAGTCAAACTGCTTAAGGACCTAGGGAGAGATTTGTTGGAAGATCACCTGAATAGATTCAATCTGCGCAGTTCTGCACAACACGGATTCCGGAAGGGTATTTTTGTGTCTGACGAATTTGTTGATTGCTCATGAAGCCTGAACTGTGGCAGTGAACAATGGCAACGTAGTGGACGTGCTTTTCATCGACTTCTCGAAGGCCTTTGATAAGGTACCCCACTTGAAGCTATCACAAAAGCTGAGCTCCTACAGAGCATCTGGCCGCGCCTTTCACTGGCTATCTTGACTGGGTCCCAGCTTATCCTTTAGGCAAACGGTCCTTAGTGGTGTCTCACATAGTTCCTTTTTTGGACCGATGCCGTTCTCCATCTCTGTAAACGATCTCCCTGGGGAATTTGGGTTACCATCGCTATTATTTGCTGATGACCTTAAGCTGTGAAATGTTGTAGAAGTCCGTGGGGGTTCTAAAGCCATTTAACATGCCCTGGACAGACTCTGGGACTTGTCTACTTTGTGGCTACTGCCCATTAACCAATCTAAGTGTTCCGTTCTTCGTTTAGGGTCAACTTTCTCACCTTCGAGGTACGTGCTTAGTGGAGTGGAACTTCCCCTTTTCTCCAACCAAGTAGACCTAGGCGTCGTCTATTCCTCGTCTTCGCATTCAGGTGACAACTGAAAGAAGGCCGCATGTAGGTGTTTCAGAATGTTGTGGTCATTACACCGTTCTTTCGAGGTCTTAACTGCTGACATCTTTGTGAATCTGTTCTCAGCTTTCGTTCGGCCCCATCTGAAGCACTGCGTTCAGGCTAGCGCGCCCTGCCTCATTCGGAACAAAATGGAGCTCGGAGTTACGGGGCGAACGTACACGGTGCGTCTACTTAAATTGGGTATGTATTCAATGCACTACCGACGACTTCGAGGGTACCTGATCGCAACTTACTGCATATTACCAGGTGAGGTAGGACCGGACCTGAGCTGGCTATTAAGCCCGGCTAGGTTGCCTTGTCTTCGCGGTCGTCCTATGAAGCTGCACAAGCCGTGTTCCGACCGGATCCGGGCTTAAATTCAGTTATCTCGTAGAGTTATCTAGCGCTGGAACTGTTTTCCAGCAAGTGTAGTCAGTGGAATTACGGCTAAGGGTTTCGAGCATAGATGAAACACACTTGGGTGCCAATACGAAACCTTTTCGTTCTCCTGACCATATCCATCTTTCAGCTTTGGTTTCATATTGCGTGCTTCTCCTCAGTCCTTGATACTCTCCTTTATTTGAATGCTTTCCTTTTTCTATCTTCCTACATCTTACTTCACGTGCCCGGCACAGCGGATACTTCTAATGGAGTAAACATGGGCAGTAATTGGTTGACCAGGGTGTGGTTCGGGTGTTTCGTTTTAGATATATCAAGACCTCGGAACACCTTATCATTTCCTGGCTCAACGATCCGCTAAAGAGGTAACACTCACAGGATTTTCCTATCGTTCCAATCCCTTCTGAATCCAAATCTGTAACTAGCAAAGCAGGAACTGCTGGTGCAGGGAACATGGGCATTTATTGGTTGGTCAGCGTGTGATTCAGGTGTCCCGTTTTATATGCATCAAGAATTCGGAACACCTTATCAACTCCTTGCTCAACCATCCGCTCATGTAGGAACACTTACGGAATTTTGCTATCGTCCCAGACCCACTTGAACTGGAACTTGAATGCTATGTTTCTAGTCTTCTGGTAAATGCCACACAGATACCTTTCGTTTGTTTTTATTATTGGCATAAACTGACGCCATGTGTTGCACTAAGCCGTTTTATATTTAACCTATCACGTGTTAGCAGTACTTTTAGTGGTTGGTATAATCATCAACGCAGTACATGGTTGGTATGGTTGATATAATGTCATGCACGAGTGAGGAACTAATATTGTTAATGCTCAAATATAATCTTACCATTAACTATGGATCAGCAATAATCTTCATCATCATGATACACTATATTCTTGGTTTTGAATGCAAGATAAAAGGAACCTAAGCTAAATCCTAGCTACAGTTGTTACCCACCACGCGACGTCTCCCATATTCCTGGCTTTTTACACCGGCGAACTTGACGCTCCGGACAAATGCCTACGAATAACGTGGGCAGTAACAAACCTAATAAATAATGTGGAACGGTTTCGCGTTTTTTCCCTTTGGTAAGATTTTTTGTAACTGCCAGTGGGCTATACCGATAACTTTCAGATAGTTCTCAGTAACGTGCGTAGCTTGCGAAGCAAGATGTACGAAGTCGGCGCTCTTGTGTGCCACTGTGAGCCTAATGTCCCTGCAATCACGGAAACATGGTTGCCATCTGACGTTATGGATAGTGAAGTGGGTTTACACGGCTACGCATCATTGTGATCTGATCGCGCATTCAGCCGTCGTGGTAGATGCAGCTCTGTAGCTCAGATCTACCCCAATTATTGTCAGGACGTGCACGTTTTACTCATCGGGTGGGGCTGCAGTAGCTCTTTCGGTTAAATTGGTCAGCTTTGAGCAGCTAAACCTTTTGTTACTGTTTAGCGCTCCTGATATCCATTCTGTAGCATTTCCCGCAAAGTTGCATAAAATGTTCAACATTTTGCAGAGGGCGCAAATTTTTGCAAACGAAGTGCAACATTTTGAAAATCCCTTTGCGATTCGCCAGCCGTCCTGAGCCACTTCTCTGACCTCAAGTGTGTTCCCATTCGCCGGGTGCTAGAATTTGGTGCCTAAGTCGTGAAGTGAGTGCGCTGCCCGTTGACTAGGTGAGACTTGTGAATGAACCTCGAGTCCATGGACATGAGCGGTGCCACGAGCTACTATCAATTAGTCAAACAACAACAGTAGTACATCAGCCGTTTGAAATGATGCTTCGTTGCCATACAACCACAATGACCTATGAAATAAAGAATAATAAGAGGGAGAGAAGGGGCACTTACCTGAAAACTTTAATGCCCTAAGCAAACATTCGGGGCCAAGGCACCTACACCTTGTGTAGACAACATACCATCGCAAACAGCTGGCTATCGTGTAAAGATAAGGCGGCATCGGCGAGACCGCTTCCTTGCGGCTTTCACTCCCACGCGTCATAATCAGTCATTGCCCCGCAGATAACTCAGCACCAAAGGCACTTTAAACAGGCAATCCGATTAGGAGACGGCAGCAGACGCGCCACTGGTGTCGGTTGCGAGCCATATCCTGTAAAGTCTAGGACCAAACCCAAGGCGAGTCACGTGGACTCGAACCCGGAAGGCGAGACGAACTAACGGCACCCAGTTTGGTCGTCAGTAACTACATATCCCGCTGCCAAATCAACTTCTGTCCACCTCGAGCCTTGTGCCACCCTACACCTGGCAGACTAAACAAGGCCCTTGTAGGTAGGCGGTGACCAGGCATGCGTAGCACGTGCCCGAGCCAGCGCAACTTATTCAGTGCTATCTGTTGTTCTAGGGAGCTAGCATGTTTATTACTACCTAGTACTCGTCTACGCACATCATCGTTGCGGACACGCTGGTGCCATTCGACACCAGCAATGCTTCGCAGACAACGATGATCAAAGACTTGAAGGCGCCTCAGATCTTCAGACCGAAGGGGCCAGGTCTCACTACCATAGAGCAGAACGGCCCTCACTGTGGCCTTGTATACACGGCCTTTCAGACGGAGGGAAACTCCCTTCTGTCGCCAAAAATGCCGCAAGTTCAAGAAAACAGCTCTGGCCTTTGAAATGCGTGAGCTGACGTCAGTATCTCTGCGCCCATCGTTGCTGATGTAGCTGCCAAGATAAGCGAAATGATCAACCACCTCAAGTTCCTCTTTAGCAAGCGTCAAGGGGTCATAAAGTTGCTGGTGGTCCTGCATTAAAATTTTGCACTTTGAAAGTGCGAAGTGCATACCAAATAATGGGACCACTCTAGATAGGTTATTCAGGGTTGATTGTGCAGCCGCAACATCGTCGAAAAGCAAGACGATATCGTCCGCATAATCAAGATCAACTAATCTTTCACCGGGCAGCACTTCAACGTCTACATCGTGAGATTCCGCAAGGGAACACTCCATGATAGAATCCACGACGAAATTGAACAAAAATGGGGAAATCGGACAACCCTGACGAACGCCACTTGTGGTCGGAAAACTATCCGATAGGACACCGTAGACCTTGACGCAGTCTGTAGTGTTCGAGTATAGATCACGAAGGATGTTGACATATTTCGTGGGAACACCTTTCCGCGCAAGTATTTCGAACAGAATCGATCGATCGACTGAATCGAACGCACTCTTGAAATCGAGGAACAAGGCTATTGTCGGTCTGCAGTATACGTGGCACTGCTCTAGCACCTGCCGCAAAGTGAATATATGGTCTATACAGCCACGTCCTGGGCGGAAACCTGCCTGCTCTTCCCTAATCCGAGGTTCCCGTTTCACAGTGAGGCGACGAACGGGAATCGAGGCTAGTACTTTTGTCACAACTGGCGCTAGGCTAATACCACTTTGGTTAGAACAGTCTGTGCGACTGCCCTTTTTGTATATTGCCACTATAATCGATTCGCTCCGATTAACCGGGCCACTCTTCGTTCCAGATACGTTCAAATAGGGAGGTCAGTGCTTTGCAGAAGACCTCACATTCATCCTTAACTAGTGCAGGGGGAGGGAACCAGGGCCAGCGGCACGAAAACGATTGGGGGCTGTGATCGCGTTTTGGACCTCGGCCTCCGACGGAGGCTCTAAACTAACCGTCCATGGCTCACCCTGCGTCACCTGACTAGGAAGAGGTCCAGGAGCAGGGGGCCAGCTGAACTGATCTTGAAAGTGTTCCGCCCAACTAGCCATACGGCGCTCCTTATTGTGTATCAGTGCACCCACGCTGTCTCTGATTGTCTCACTGACGCCTGGTTTCCTGGGACCACTGGTTCTGATCAGCTGGAAGAGTTTGCGGTAATTGCCCACTGCTCTTGCCTCCTCCATTTCTTGAGCTTGACTGGTCCACCAGACTTCCTTGTCAGCACGTAGGCTCCGCTTTAGTTCGCGCCTAATAGCCCGTCTGGTCATATTGTGCGCAGAGCCAGCCAGGAGTTTTCTTCTAGATTCCAACAGGTTCATCGACCTCTCAGATATCCAGTGACTGGTACGGTGATGAATGATAGTGCCACAAGCAGATGCTCCTGCGTCGTGCATGGCGGCCGAGATCCTATTCTACTGAAGCTCAGTGTCATTAGAACAAGACAGTTCGGTAGGTAGCATGTCTTGATAGGCTTGCCTGACTGAGGGCTGAGACAATTCCTCAGTTGCCAATCGGAGGGGACACTTGGTGCACCTCCCGGTAAAGTTCATGGAAAAACGACAGTGTACCAAGTCATGATTAGAGTCGATGCAGGTATTCAAGTAGAGCGGCAATCCAGTATGGAACGACACCATCTGTAACTTATGGCTATGTGGTCAATTTGGGTCCATCGCTAGGCAGCTACAGGAGGACGCCAAGTGGCACTTCGGCGCCCACTGTGTCTAAGCGCAGTGTTATTAAGAATCAACTGGTGCTCCGCACAAAGTTGCAGCAGACGCTCGCCGTTGTCATTCCGTTCGGAGTTAAGCCCATAATTACCACCCAGCTGAGCTTCCGAAGAGCTCAGACGTCCTACTTGCGCATTCATATTTCCAGCAAGGATTATAATATCCGAACTAGTAGAACTGTGTAGTAACGCGTTCAGTTCATGATGGAATGTGTACTTGACGGCTTCAGAACTGCAGTCGATGGGGGCATAAGCGGAAATCTCAAACAAAGCGTTTTGTACTACTTCGTGAATCAACCTTGCCTGATGTCGTCACGATAGCCAACTGTTTGTGACGGTATGTTGTCTACACAAGGTGTAGGCGCCTTGACCTTAAATGTTTGCTTAGGGCATTAAGGTTTTCAGGTAAGCCCCCTTCTCTCCCTCTTATTATTCTTTATTTCATAGTTCTTCATAGTTGTATGGCAACGAAGCATCAGTTCAAATGGCTGATGTACTGCTGTTGTTGATGATGATGATGGTGTCGTCAAACGGGCTGCACATAAACGGCTGTTCACCGGAATCCAGTCGACCAACGATGGCTCAGCCTGGGAGTTAGGAACGATACCTACACCAGTTTGACGCGTGAGTGCTGCATCGGTGTCTCCGGATTCGTGCAACCAATAACGAGAGGACAAGCCGGGTGCAGTTAATTCAACAACCCCATTAGGATCATTGATCCTAGTTTCGGACACACAACACACATCAAAACCCAGTGTGTCGAAGGTGCGTGCGAGTGCAGCCTGTTGACCTACCTGTCTTAGAGTTCGAACGTTGAACGTCGCAATGCAAACGGGACAGCGTGGCCTTATATGGAGCTGTTGCCGATTGGCGTCCGGTGGGTGTCGCGAGAAGGTGGCTGCAGATGGTTCTAATGCAGTGGCACATCGGTTGTTGTCAATTAAGCTGGGAATTATAGAAGGATGGTTAGTACTGGGGGTTGGGATGGGAGTAAGAGAAACAGGTAGAAAAAAGAGAAGGGAGGCGCCAGCAATAGCATGTTTTCGCTTCTCCGCCTTGCTATATGTTGCAGATAAGGTGACCCTTGATAATCTACGCGACGGCTGATGCAGGATGAAGCTTGTGTTTGAAGAAAAAAGTCATGGTTGTATATAGGCTAAGATACTGCCAGGGCGCCCAGACCTAGACAGGAGGACGGTTGAGGTTCTCATCCA